TCTACGTTGACAAATTATTGAACCACGTAAAAGTTTCTATCTATTGTATTAGTTTTCTGTCCTTGTTTTCTATGGAGCTGAGATTCGAATCCTAAGAATATTTATAGCCAAACAAAAAAAATTCCTACAAGGTTTAGACTTGAATGTAATCAAGTAGTGGTAGCTAGGATACCTATTGCTTAAGGATCGACTCCTTAATCCGATTTCTATTAGAGTTCTTTGAAGACTCCTCGTTCAGAAGCCCCAATTTAGTTTAGCGAAGATCAACCCAATCAGGAAACAAACGAAAATACCAACAAATTTGCCAAACGCGTATGTGATTAGGGTTATGTGTATTTGAACTACGTGTAACTGAACTCAGTATTTTTACATTAAATTTGTATACTAAATCCAGGCGCAACTTATTACATACAAGAAATAATATTTCAATATTAGTCCGTGCCTTCATAATGAGAGGAAATTAAGAAAATATTTGCGATCACTATGGTCCATAAATGTGAGGATAAGCCAGAATAATTAACCATAGCAACACAGCTAGTTATTGACAAATTCATCAAGAAAGTCCAAAATAAATATATAATAGAAGGGACGAAAGGCCGTGTGGTTAACTTTTTGGCTTGCCCACAAGCCTAATTACGTACGCTATCATTCTGAATATTACCCCTCCAACGCTATAAAAACCAGCTCATCGATCACTCAATTGCAAATTAATCCACAACAAACTATAGCAATCGGTACTGTACTAAGATGGCTAAATCTTGTCAATTAGCAATAATTGCTATTGTTCTGCTCGCAGGGATTTCAAGCCCAAGTCCCGTAGCCTCACATCGGCTCATGGTCGGATCCTGCCACGCTAGCGGATATTTGCGAGGAAAGACTGGCCACTGCAACACAGAGCTGGTCGGATCCTGCCACGCTAGCGGATATTTGCGAGGAAAGACTGGCCACTGCAACACAGAGCACGACTCTGACTGCTGCAAAGCAGGGAAGAAGTACCCTCAATATCGCTGCTCTCCTCCCATTACGGGCACCACCCGCGCGACAATGACCATCAACAGCTTTGCCGAGGGTGGTGACGGAGGCGGCCCATCCGAGTGCGATAACCAGTACCACAGCGACGGTGAACTGGTGGTAGCATTGTCTTGATCCAATGGAGAGGATTGGTTTTTAGTTTTTAGGATAGTGATGTTTTTATTTGAACCTCTCCCTATATATATATAACAGACATGCATTGTCTACTGGCTGGTACAATGGAGGAAGCCGATGCCTGAACTACATCAACATCAATGCCAATGGTAAGTCAGTGAGAGCCAAAGTGGTGGATGAGTGTGATTCTGTGCACGGTTGTGATGCCGATCATGACTTCCAACCTCCCTGTCCTAATAATATAGTGGATGCTTCTCCGGCAGTGTGGAAGGCGTTGGATATCCCCAAGTCTCAGGTAGGGGATTATGACATTACATGGTCCGATGCTTGAGACTTCAGTCTGTCAATATTTAAGGCTCAAAGCTGTCTGTTTATGTGTTTAAATATATAGCGTGCTAAATCTGTACTGCTGCCTGGTGTATGGTGTATGCTAGCTAGTAGTTTTGCATTTCAAAGTTGAGTGGCGTAATTATACAAGGTGAGCGTTTCTGAGACTGGTTGCATACATATGATCTTATATGTACTAAGCTTGATTTCCTGGTTAATTAGCTTGCAACTTTAAATTGCTCGTGACATAGGCTTAATTTAGTGAGGTGGACTAGGAAGTTACATACCTCTATAAGATCAGCGTTAGCACACACGGCCAGCAGTCAAGTAAAGATCGAAACCAAAAGTAGTAACAAACTAAAACAGGAAGTTAATGAGAGAAAGAACTGCATTCAGTAGTACGATATCGGCAATAGGCAGTAGAATAATCAATTTTCGTTCAGTTATTCAATATCAACACAATAATAAAAGCAAATTCACACCAAAAATCACAAAGCAGCTACACACTTGTTATCTCGCTCTCTCGCTCAGCTATGACATCTCCAAGAAAACTGGGCGCTCTACAGCCCGTACCTTGCCTCGTGAAGCATCATATCAAGAACCATGCCACAACTTACATCTTCGCACAGTATGTTGTGTCGAAGTCCTTCTGCAAACTCGTCAAGCTTCACTCCTTCATCCTGCAGCTGCAGAAAACGAAACCTTCGTATCGGCAAAGGACACTGCTTGATCAAGTATTCACCCCGGGATGTCTTGAGCATATCCTTGAGATTGTCCGATGATTCCGTGGAAGTCACGATAGCTCGTGCGAATTTGAAGCAGATCGCCTCCTCGAAGAGATAACCATTGCGTCTTCTTGGAAACGATTGGGATGGCGACGGCGAGAAGGTGATGAGAAAGAGGAGGAAGAGGCTTGCTGAAATAGTCGATCGAGACATGACTGCTGTAACTAATTCTTTGGAGTAACCGATGACTTCTCGCAATGAGAGCTTTGGTATGCAGAAGAGATGGATTTTTGATATATTTATAACCAACTAAATTATCGAATCCTTGTAGGAGTAGACTTCGATTGAAATCTCATGTCGATTAAGTTTTTTACCGAGTCCTATTTGCATTAGGCTAAAAACAACCTGATTAGAAAACAAATAAACCATTAAACACAATTTCTAATTTTAAACTCTTGCATATGACGTGAATTGTGAAATTCAAGTTATCACCGTGTGTTTTGACGGTATGTACGGTTATTTGCCTTGAATACTCATATCTATAACTTTTTCCAAATAAAGATTTGTCTTCTTCTTCAAATATAAATAAAATAATAATAAAATATCCTAGGTCATATATATTAAATTTCACTAACTGGTCATGATGATAGTTTAAAAAGAACAGAGATTTATTACATTTTGGTGTCCTGAATACAATTGAAATTGCACATGTGATCCTAAAGTCTATGTATCCATGGGCAAGTTTACTCTTACTTACTCAAACTGTGAGTATTTGTTTGTAAAACAAGATACTCCCACATAGAATATTTGAGCATTCTTTTAGAAGTTTAAAAGTAATTAATGATTATTCGCATTTAATAAATGGTGCAAAACATAAACTTCTAAACCTGCATGCGAATAGCGTCATTTTACTAGTACATTTTTTAATAAGCATGTAATCATGAATTAAAAACTGCTCCAACATCAACAAATAACCATTGTAATATTTTCTTTTAGGCAGAAAAAAATGAGAGTGTTGGGTTATTAATAGAAATAATCAGTCTATAAGGATGATATAGCGATAGGCCGACACTTGAGGATCTCGTTGACTAAATGAGGGGAATAGTTCTTTTTTTTCGAAGAAACGGAAGGAAAGAAAAAGAAAAAAGTGATTGGCATTTTTCATATTTTTGAGATATTACATATTTATAGAAAATAATAAATTTTATTCCATTTGGATAAAGGGGAAAAAAGAAAAGTGATTTGTATTTTTCACATTTGGAGATATTAAATATTTATAGAAAATAATAAATTTTGTTCTATTCAGACAAAGGTTTAAAACCGTCAAAAATCCATAACAAGATGAAAAGAAAGGTTTGTGAAACACTCAATCGTTCCATAATCAAATATTCCAACAGATAGGACAATAACATTTCTAACCTTATTCTATAATGATTCGGACCATCGTCCAATTGTCCTATGACCAATCATCCGTGAGATAAAGTTTCAAGTGTCTCAACTTTATATCATTTACAGTAAATAAAAAAAA